CTGCTTGAGAAACCTCTTTGATATAAATCCAATTCAAGGTCAGTATAGAATTCTAGGAGAACGGAAATCAGGCCTAGTTAAAAATTGCTGAGAGGATGCAAATGGTTTCCTATCTCTAAATTGTGGAAATTAGTAATTTGAGATGTTGATTTTCTGAGGAGGGATCATCATTTGACTTGGAAAAGAAAAATCTCCATATCAGCCATTTCACATATTTATACAGTCAACATAAGATAAGGACATCTTTCACAATTTATGGGAAAAACTGTGTGATATCTCTGTTTTGTTTCAGCCTTAACAGATTGCATTTCTTTGGTTTCCAACCCTGCATTAGAAACTGCTTTCTCCTGATAATCAAACTCATTGCTTCCTGTGTATTATCAAAAATTATTAACATGGCCTCAGATTTGCTGAAAGGCTTCTATAGTATCTAGAGAGTATGTCAGACTTACGTTAGACATAAGTCATAAGGATCATAAGGCTTATTGATTGACAAGTCTGCTAAGAACTGCAGCATAAATATGCTCTGCTCTCCAGGCTTATTTATGAAATGTGTTGCATCACAAATCACATCTACTATGGGTTTGTGTTATTTGGAATAAAATGACTCACAAGTAGTTGCTGGAGACTTCTGATGTTGTCCTTTCAACTAGTGTGGAATATGAGGTGCAAGATTTTTTTTTCAATTTGCAATCAAGGTTTTCTTATGTTGATACATTTTCTTAAAATGCTTTTTTAGGCAAATTATAAAATTTTTATTCAACTTCCTCAAAGATCTATCTGTGCCAATTAGATTTGTTTCTGGTAACTTATTAAACCAAGACATTGTAAATACAATATAAAACATGAGCAACATGGATTCTTGTTTATTGTTATGTAATTTACTGGTTAAATTTACTGATTAATTTTATGGATAATATATTTGATAAATTTTTGCTGCGTGCATGTTTGTATCCTAATGTTTGGCTCTATTTAATGTACCATCTTTGTACATTCATATGCACCTGATTTATTTCCATGAAATCTACTTTTAAGAAAATGATTTTTAAAATTACAATACTGTATATGAATTCAGTCTAATAGCGAAGATTGAACTGTGAAGTGAAAAGCTGACAGTACAAATTTCTCTGCTACCCTGCAGTCACTAGATTGACAAGTCATGCTAACTTTAACCCTTTTGATCTCCTGTGGAGTAAATCAGATTTGTATAAGTTGATTGAGAATACATATACAAGTAAAAAGCTCTGAAGTATTATGCGGGTAGTCCTCGAGTTACAACAGTAATGGAGCCTGCCAATTATGGTCACAAATTGTGATGGTCATTAAGTGAGGAACTCATGTGATTGCCTTGCTTAACAACCCCACCCTGTTCTCCTGGGTGTGGTCGTTAAGTAGAGCATGGTACCTCAGAAGTAAGGGAGGCCCTGGGAGCTAGCACAAGCCCAGGCTTGTCTACTTGGGCCTCCCAAGGCTTCCCCCCCTTCCCCAGCACTCAGAGTCCATGTAGGTCTCTGCAAGGCCCTTCACTTGCAGGCCTTGAGCTTCCTTCCCATCCAACCACTCATCTATCTGGCAGAGCTCAGGCTAGCTGCAGTGCATGTGAAGATGCTGCAGCTTGTAGCCTTGAGCTTCCTTCTCACCCAGCCACTCATCTACCTAGGGGAATTCAGGTTGGCTGGAGTGCCCGTATTCACTGTCCCCTAAGTCCGGGTCGACAGTAGCTTCAGATTACAGGCCTTGAGCTTTCTACCCACTTAGCCACTCATGCACCCAAGGCCAAATCCAGGGCCCAGCAGCCCCCAACTTATCTTTTCTGTTTTTTTGCAACTTCTGAGGGAGATTTCTGGCTGATACGAAGCTCAGTGTAGGAGATGATCAGCTGGCCAAAGGGTGGGATGCATCATCAATCTTGAGTTCTTTCTCATGCCCACAAGAGATCTAAATCCAGCCCACCTTGAATTCTGTTGACCCTTATCTATCAATTTGTTTTGACTGTTAGTAGTTCAGATTCTTCTAGAGAGCAGTAGCATACAATAAACTTATATTCATTTGAACTGCCTGGACTACTGATTTCCTACGCTTGACACTCAGCTTTCCTATAGAGGTAGCCTTGTGGGAACCTCATGTTATTTTGCAAGCAGAGACTATTCTTACAATCATGAAATAAATTCCCCTTTCAATTTAGCCAAATATAGCAAACAAATTTGCAATGCAATTCTGCATTAAAATCAAAACTTCAAACAAATTAATAAAAATAATGTATTATATTATGGAAAGCATATTGCAGAAATGCATATTTGGCAGAATTCAATATAAAAATTGTGTGTTTGAGAAACAAAAAAACATTGGTGATGATTTTTTAAGCAATTAAATAAAAAATTATAAAAAGATATTTAGTTGGGATGGATCAAATTGAATGACTCTTCATCCATTCCTGTGAAAACATGAGCTGCTGTTTCTCATACTGGCCAGATCAATTAGCTGTTTATTTCTTTGATTCACAGAGAAGTTTTTATTCTGGTTATTTGTTTAGGAATCATCTTACTGTGTTCTGTTTTTGTAATTCATTGTCCTGATTTCTAATTTCCATCTTTTTCATCAGAAATTATTTTTTTTATAAGTCTTCTTTCATATTCAGTCAAGTCTTGATTGTGAGTAAATTATGTAGGTATATAGGCTATCAAGGGAATATATTTTACAGTCATAAGATATCAATCAGCTAATGCTGGTAAGAAGTACACGTTACAGAAGATTCTTTTATATTGTGTGCATTGTGTTTGTGTGAGTATTTAGCACCAGCTTTTCTGTAATTTGTGAGTGGAAACTCCATCAATGTGTTATTGCTAATCATGTGAATAAAATAAAGCCTTGGGAATAATGACTGTAGATTGTATAGGCTGCTAACATTTAAGCAAATATTTGGCTTCTTGCTTATAACTTTAATAGCCTCTGCCTCTTTTCAGTTGTGATAAGTCTTACATCAATAACCTATGAACTTTTGTTTGTGGGAAAAGTTGTCTTTACAACTTTCTATACAACTTTGAATTTTTTTTTAAAAAAGGAAAATGACTATATCAGCCAAATGAACTGCTTTTTTGGTGCAAATTATTCTGAAATGCTTTCTGGTATTGTTCCAAATAATATTATGGGGTATTTTCCAATTTATCTTGTGTGTCTGTGAGATCTATTGGAGATTAAGTCTCTGAATTAATTTATATAGATTGGCAGAAAATGTCAGTTACAATTATTATTTGAAACATTTCATTAAGAGATGGTACTATCAGTAGATACAAAGAAGAAAAAAGTCAAAGGAAAGTAAGAAGGGTCATTAGATGAAAACAGATGGATATTTATTTATCAACAGTGGGAATGACTTTCTCAGCAAGGTTCTGACAAGAGGTATTTTATTGACATCATAGTTTAGCAACATCTGAAGGGCCAAAGCTTCCCCACTCCTATATTAGCAAAAAGCCTCCTTAATTACTAAGTAATTAAATTGATAGTTTATACCAAGAGCTGCTTATTTTTGGATTATATATTTCTACATTCAGCATTAGAGGATAGAGGACTGGATCAGATTTTCTGCTATTAGAGTAGTTAATAGGAATTATTAACTGCTCTGAAGATTATATGTTATTACCTAAATCGGCTTTAAATATACATGTCTTAAATCTTGTTGTTTTTTTGGGCTTGCTTTAAATAGAGATAATCTGGATCTCAAAAGTTGAAGATATTACTTTTAATTTATTAGAAAAGTGATGTTTTAAAATAAGTCTTCTGCACTCAATGTGGTGTCTTAGCAACAAGATCTGATTATGTATATGAGCACATAACCTTGAAAAAAAATCTATATCTTTTCATGCTAATGGAACCTCAGATGGTTAATTAGCTAGCATCTATAGTTGCAAAATGGTGGTTTAAAATTGAATGCTATAATATACTATATTTTTTAAAAAACATTAACAAAATAGTTTGAGCAAGCAATTCATAGCCATGACTTGGTCTTATATTTTTTGAGGGAAGAAAAGGAACTTTATCATCAAAATGTGAAGGGAAGCTGGTTCAGCCCGAAGGTATAGCATCTTACATGAATTGTCATTTGGATATGTTAAAACTATAGAATAACTTGTACATTTTTGGAGACAATACTGAAACAAGCAGTGATCTACACGAATCTACTTAATGATATGATGAGATAGGGAATGTTACATATATAAGCAGGATATAATCCTTCAATCAATAGAAATAGTTACTACTGGCATCTGTTGTACTGACATTTTAAAATCAGCAAATGAAAATCAGAAGAAATCATTGGGTATTATTTATCCATTTCCTTCTTAGTACTAGATCAATTTAATCTTTCATTGCAGGCTCAGCTGGAAGCGCAGAAAGCAACACAGGATTTTCAGAGAGCCACAGAGGTTTTACGAGCTGCTAAGGAAACCATTTCCCTTGCAGAACAGAGGCTGCTGGAAGATGACAAACGTCAATTTGATTCTGCATGGCAAGAAATGCTCAACCATGCCACACAGCGGGTAGGCTGTACTACTACTCTTCCTATCAGTTTTTTAAGTATTTTAGGCAAGACGGAATTGATACCTTACAGCAGTGGTTCTCAACCTTTTTAATGCCGCGACCCCCAACTGGTCATAAGTCGAGGACTACTCAACCGGTCGTAAGTCGAGGACTACTCAACTGGTGCAGCACCGTTTGCAGAATGGGACTTTGGGCGGGCTCAGCAGGGCAGAGACAGCCTGGACAATTCCTATTGGCTTTTGAAAGCCAATAGAATTAGACTCTATTCAAGAGAGTCTATTCTATTGGCTTTCAAAAGCCAATAGAATAAAAGGGAGTAGCACAGCTAAGGAAAAGGGGGGGAAAATGGCGGAGTGTGTTGTTTGGCGACCCCCGTGAAATGGTCGTTCGACCCCAAATGGGGTCCCGACCCATAGGTTGAGAACCACTGCCTTACAGAATATTGCACAGATTCTAACACTTACTTCAGAGACAGTAGATATCAGTAGAAAAGCAGCAAGACTGTTTGTAGGTAAAGTAACCACAGGTTGGTAAGAGGTAGAAAAAGGCTGAATCTGTCCATGATTGATTGGCCTGCAACTGTACAAATAAAACAAATTGACTTAAAGGCACATAATTTGTTTCTTCAGGTCTTTCACCCCTAGCCACCAAAACTGAATCCACCCATTTGGGTGCTGGTCATCCTTTTCTTTTTTTTCCATTTCCCTAGCATTATGATTATCTTCAGAAAACTAGGAGGATTGATTTGTAATCATGATTTAATATTAATCAGAATTTGGGCATTATTTATGATTAAATGAAAGTAGCTATTTTTTAGTAGGCTCTATGGCCAATGTTAAAAAGAAAAGTAATTGCCTTTTTAGAAAGACCTTGACATAATAATCTAAATGGACTCTTCAAATTCAGTTCCATGATTCTGTCATTGAGTTTAATTTACATGGAAATTTCTCATTTTTTGCATTTTTTTAACAAGTTTAGTCAAATGGCCAATGGGATGTCACTAACATTAATAAATTATAGCAAGATATTTACAATTCAGATTCCACAGAGCCCTCTTTTTTCTATGCTATTTTGCCAGATATTACTTAAACTTTTGAGGAATATTGTTACTAAAAACAATCTAGGCTTTATATGTAAAAGTTTAAACTCAAAAACATTTTCATAACCCTTTTTAAAGGTTATGGAAGCAGAGCAGACGAAAACTAGAAGTGAACTTGTACATAAAGAAACGGCAGCCAAATACAATGCTGCCATGGGCAGAATGAAACAGTTGGAGAAGAAGCTGAAAAGGGCTATCAACAAATCAAAGTAAGTTTAAATCTCCAAGGGATCATGTGATGTTGTGGTTGTTGAGTGTTTTTCTGACATATGTAAATAGAACCTTGAGAAACCATGGGAAATGTCAAAGGCAGCCTTGAGTCATAGACTCCTTCCAAATGCTCAGTACAGGACAAATGCAGAAGGCGTCACAAACAGGAAATAAATATTATGGGATCATAGCTCAGCAGTATATAATGTGTGATTCAGTGCAAATCATTTAGCTGTGATATTGCCAGATTAGGGATTAAAAAAGTCTTGCTTGAAGAATTCTTCACAAAATCTTTTATCAATCTGAATTAACAGTTATGAGTTCTCTGACCAATGGTCTTAGTCAGTGAGCCTTAAGCTGTGGTTTAACCATAGTTGTAAAAAGTAAGACTTGTCTGAAAAATCACAGGAAAACTACATTATGGCTTAACCATTGTAAAAAAGACCTGTTTGATGAATCCTGCCTGGCCTTCATATTTGGTGCTTCATTTATCAATTTGAGCTACTATCTTGTGCTTCGAATGCCTTTCAGGATGGTTTAAAAGCATCTCTTAATCCAGGGGTAGGCAACCTTGGCTCTTTTATGACTCATGGACTTCAACTCCCAGAATTCCTGAGCCAGCCGTGCTGAGGGGAAAAGGAGAGGTTTCCAAGCTGAGCCATGCTCAGGAATTCTGGGAGCTGAAGTCCACGAGTCATAAAAGAGCCAAGGTTGCCTACCCCTGTCTTAGTCAAATTATATTAGCAGCAAGATTATGGCTCAAGGCTGGTAAATGAGACTGTAACACTATTTTAGTAGTTTTTCTATTACGATACAGCCCTATGTTAGATACCATTTTCCAGTCTCTGCTATACTGTAACAACAGAATGATTTAATCCAAAGGGCTTTCAGATTCTGGATCAGAAGCTTCTTGGAGATCCTGAGCAACTGGGCAAGGTGGATCAGGTTTCATTTGAACTTGATCTCACTTGAACATAGAAATTTTCCAACGTTCTTCAGGATTTACTCCTTGCTGTTGGACCCACTGGGTAGATTAGATCAAGAAGACAACTCCACAGGAAGGCTAGAGCTAATTTTATTAAGACTGGCTATAATAACAGAATCTTGCAAATCTTACTGTGTTTTACTTCTTCCTCCTTCGTGCAGTTCAATACATTGTCTATTTGAATCACTTCTGAATGTTATCTGGATGTTCTGAACTTAGTGTTTTACTCCTCTGTGCCTTGACAGTGGAGTATCTTGTATATCTTCAATATTATTGTTCTTAACTCTCAATATTTTATTAGGCAATTTGAGAATCTGTGTGCTGTTGTATATAGATTAAATTTAGGTATATTTATCTATTTCTCAACCCCAAGCCCAATGAAATTATTATTTTTTAGGTGGGTAGAAGTGTCACACAAATTCATTAGCGTAGTATTACAGTATGTTTTGTATAAACAAATTCCACATATTGAAATGATAGGATGGCTAGATTGTTTTATATCAACAGGATGGTAGATGGCTGAATGGATGGGAATTAAAAGGGAGTGCATTGTTCTTCTACCAATAATAATGCTGTTATGTTCCCATCCTTATAGGCCTTATTTTGAACTCAAAGCAAAATATTATGTACAATTAGAGGTATGTACTTTTTATTTATTTTATGTAGAAGATAAATATATGTAGTTCTGGATTGAGTTATGGAGTCCTTGATTCTCTCTGTGCTTGGTTGTTTGTTTGCAGATATTTCATTAGCCAACTAGGTATTATCATCAATGTGAGTTATTGATTTTTCTTATTTAAAGCCATCTGACTCCCCAAAAACCAACAGAAAAAAAACCTCATTTACATTTGTTGCTGTTGTAGTGGTTGTTTCATTTTAAGAATGATGAAACTTTTATAGATGTGAAATTTTCTGAATAAATGGGGGTATTGTCGTTTGGAATTTGAGGAAGAATGCATTTAGCATATTTATTTAGTTCTAATTAATTTTATACTACCTTTATAGGAACCAGATTTTTCAAAATTTAATTATAATGTATTAAAACAATAAATCAAGAAATGTATTAAGTCTTCTCATAGGACAGTTGACTCTATAGAGAAGGAGACAATTTAGTTTCTCCCCCCCCCCCAGGAACATTTGCTATTATTTATCTTGTGGTGTGGGAAATGTAGACAATATATTTTAGCGAGGTTGAAATTCTGCTGTGGGTAATGGATAGTAACCTTTTAGTATGGAGATGTTCTTCCTAAAAAATAGTTAATCTGCACATATGTGAACTTATGTATAATTGACTTTTATATGCTAATATTAGAAATATATACCCAGGATGAAAAGCATCTTCACCTGCTATAATAATCCACAAAACTATATATATAGTATGTTTGAGCTATAAGCTTTCAATCAAGCCTTCAATGAAGCTAGCACCAGAACTAGAAAGAACATTTTCAGGATAATTTCTTTAACTAGTATCCTCCTTAGGTGCTGGACTCCCATAATCAATCATCCCACAAGATATTGGATTGTCATGCTTGATGAATCAAAGAAATCAAAGTCCAACATGGCGGGAGGATCTTAAAATTGGATGGAGTTATTTTAAAGTTAGAATACTTCATTCTACCTGCTAGATTGAATGATCAGACATTTGTGTAATAAATAAAGATTTCAGTTCTCTGTAAATCTGCTGATCGTTGTCAGCTTTATTATTTTGGTGAACAGCTTTATGGGAAAGCTGGGAGGTGTTTTAGAGGGTCCCTAGTGCCCTAATGCAAGTCTTTCTTCACTTGAAACCTATGCAATTTATTGTATATGGATATTTAGAAATTTTTCTTTGAGTAAGTAAATTTTTTTGATGGTTTTATTAGCAATTAAAGAAGATAGTGGATGACCTGCAAGCAAAATTGGCTTTGGCCAAGGGTGAATACAAAACAGCCTTGAAGAACTTGGAGATGATCTCTGACGAGATTCATGAGAGGCGGCGAGCCTCGTCAATGGGGCCCAGAGGATGTGGTGTTGGGGCTGAAGGCAATAGTACTTTGGCAGAAGACCTTTCAGGATGCAAGTTAGAATCAGATAATGTTTCCAGTAAGTAGTAGAAAAAGATATAGAGTTTTGGCCATGTCAATTTTTTTGAAAGGTTATATCAGCAACTAAGAACTGGTCAAAAAGTACCAGGTGTCAAGAAGCCAATTATAACAGTATAATTAATAGATGCCAAAGTACTTTTCAATTTTCCAAACAATTTTTCCCATTGCCATGATACTTTAGAATTTCTTTTTGAGGTGTGATTGAAATCAATTGTTGTGAGAGTGCTGTTTTTACTTTTTCTGTTATGCAACTGTCTGTGGCTTCTCATGTTTTGAATCTGATTAAAAGTCCTTTGGGAGGTTTTTTCCTCATGAACATTTCTCGTATTTAGTAGAAATAGGACAAATCAGGAATCTGGAAATCCCAGGAGATATGATTGTACCATGAAAAATAGGACAAGCAACATTCTCAGCTTTGTTATAATAATAGTAAAATTTTGCCAAATCTATTTTCAAGTTTGACTTTGTTAAAAAGTTTCTTTAAATCATACAAAATGGTTTAAAATAGGTATTAAAACTATTTAGTAAAGCTATCCATCTATGAAAATTAGAGAGTTGGTTTCATAGGAGCAATGGTGGCTCAGTGATTAGAATGCATTATTGCAGGCTAATTCTGCTGACTGCCAGGCTTTATAGTCTGGCTAGAACACTGGACACGGCTAGTATTCTGAAAATGGATGAAGGGCAGGTTTTTGTATTTATCGTTCTCTAGCTGAAACTTTCCTTTGGAAAATAACGACATAAACATGAGTGTGAATGCAGCTGACTTATTTTTATGACAGTTCACTTTTTTCTAATGGCCTTTGGTGATTGGTTGAGGAGAGAAATCATACACCATTTATATATTACCACCTAGAAGTATCCATGAAGTTACCTAGAATAGAGCTTCTGTCAGAATAGACTTTACCTTTTTCCTTTTGGCAAGAGGTGATAGTACTCTTTAATATATTGCTGAGAATAAACAATAGTTGGTTGCAGTGGTTTGGGATGGAGGAACAGAAGTCCTAAACAGGGGAAAATAATGCTGAATTTTGTTTTGTTTTGTTCAAAGTTAGGGAGAATTGTATTATTCTGTTAGTTGTGATTGAAATGGCTTATAAGCATGTTTATTCTGTTCATTAATGCTGATTAATTTTTTTTTTACATTTTCACAGTGGCATCAGAGGTATTTGAGGATGACAACTGCAGCAGCTTTGTGTCTGAAGAAGACTCTGAAACTCAGTCTCTATCTAGTTTCAGTTCTGGTCCCACAAGCCCTTTTGATATACCAGCTCAATTTCTTCCCATGACTCGCCCTAAAAGTTTAGATTTGTCTAGCCCTATATCGTTATCTGAATTTGGTGTATTTCCTTTATTAGGACCTCGCAGTGAATGTAGTGGGGCATCCTCTCCTGAATGTGAAATTGAAAGAGGTAAGTTGGATTGATGAAGGCAAAGATCAATGTAATACAGAGATAAGACAATAGCTAAGGACAAACAATGCAGGTATGAGATATGTAACTTTGGGAACAGAATATGCTATTTTGTTGCCGTATTTCAAAAGGATACTGTAGATGTAGAGAAAGCTAGAAAAGGGAACAAAATGATCTGGAAGTTTTTAAGAAAGATGGTAACTTTCCCTGCATTTTGTAACATGCAATTTCTCAGCTAGATCTGCACTAAAAAGCATAAAGCCTTGTGATAAAATTGCATGGTTTTGGTCAGTTCTTTTTTGTAAAAAAATAAAATAAAAAAAAGTGCTGGAACTCACACACGTCATACAACCCGCCTTGCCTACCCTACAAGGTTC